TTATTTATTTAATAATTCATATTTTATAATTTAATATAATTAAAATTCAAAATACTAAAGTCATACTACAATAAAAGTAATATTTTAAACATTTAAAATTGAGTGAGAATAAAGTTACACAAGTGCTGAAAAGTCATATTTTTTCTTTTGGAACATTTTGACATAGTGTTGGTTCCAAACTCGTCCAAAAAAAAAAAAATGTATTTATTCAATAAATAATGTTATTGAGCCTTTAAGGCCAGATGCGTTGAAAAGTCATATTGACCTTTTATCTTATTGTTATTTAATCACAACCATGAAAATAGGAGAGCATACCTCGATATGTTACAAAGGACCTATTACTCTAAATTTTAAGAGTTTAGTTTCTTTTAAATTAGATTTTAAATTTTAATTTTATAAAAGAAGAAATAAGTGTTAATAAATTTTTTTTGTGAGTTTAACATAATTTGATTTCAAATTAATTAGAATTTAATGTTATTTTGGATATTAAGAAATATATTAAAAAAACATTATAGTCTTAATCCATTTGTTAACTTACACTTTGTTTAATATAATTTTAGTTTGGCTTCTGAGTTTTAATTAATACTATTTATGAAAATTTATTGTTATTAAGTGCCAAATTTATTAAAGTACAAAATTTTAAAAAGAATTAGAATTTTATTAGTGTTTAAATAAATTTTTATTTATTAGTTGATTCCAATTTTTTTCTTGTTAAATTTAATTTTTAAATTATGATCTTACTGGTAGATTTCAATATTTTCTTGTTTAAATTAAAATGGTGAGTATCTTTAAAGCACATTATTAAATTTTTAATTTAAATTCATAATTAATTTCATTGTATTATTTTTTTAAATTTTAAATTAATAGATCAATAAAACTTATACATTTTAAGGCCCAAAAATTAAAAGTAACTAAAATTTTATTAGTGTATAGATAATTCTTCTATTTATCAACTGATTTTAATATTTTCTTTTTTAAAAATTTAATTTCAAATTGTGATTTTATTTGGAGATTTTAATATTTTCTTTTTTAAATTAAAATAATAATTATCTATTTACTTTGCATTGTTAACTAATAATTAAAAACTTGATAATTTTAAATTAAAATTATTGTTTTATTTTATTTTATTATTTTTTTAATAGGATAATTTGGGAGAATGAAGAATGGGATGCGTATGGTTTGAATACGCACCTATAAGAGATGACCCCCACTTTAATTAAGTGTTGTGACTACTAGGTTGAGATATGAAGATCAAGTTATTAGTTTATTTATAAGATAAAAAAATTAAAAAATCTTATTTAAATCTAATTTAAATCATATAACAAATTCTCTTTGGGATTAATCCTGCCTTATGGCTTATGTGATCACCATATGAATACTCTACTCACACCACTGAAATTCAACTCCCTTATATCCTCATTTCCTCTGCCTCAAATTCCCTCAGTTATGAAAAAATAAAAAATCTTTTAGATTAAGTCATTTATTTGAAATTTAAATTTTATCTTATTAAATTTTTAATTTAAATTTACAATTAATTTTATCGATTTATTTATTTTTTAATTTTTAAATTAATAAATCAATAAAACTTATACTAAATAATGTAACATATTATTTTAAAAAAATGAATTAACTCTCAAATACTGTGTTATGAGTATATATATATTTTAAGTTTTTGAGAACCAGCTAACTCTACAAATATCAAAATTCCGGAAACAAGTACAGTCATTTCTATGGAATCTAACAACTAGCATGTTACCAACGAGGGGTTGGATCAAGTGGCAAGCGGCTTATTCTAGTTTAAATAAGATTTCGAGTTTGAAACCTTATATACGCAGCAGTTTTTGTTGGGAGACCCACCCACCATTCTGGTACGCTACAGCTGGTCGAGTCCAGAATAGTTGGGACGAAACCCGAATACCGGGTGGGAAACCAAAAACAAAAAAAAACAACTAGTATGTTGATCGCTGTACTACTCAACGGAAACTTAAAGCATATGGATATCAACAGACAGCATCTATTATTTTTCAGAAGGTAAATGTTTTAGAGTGATTTTTTATTATACAATTATCAAATTTTTTATAAAAAAATCCAATCTCCTCAATGCAATTATTATTGTAACATGGGGAATGCTGGCTGCACTCGCCTTTCTCCAGCACTCTCCAACACTCCCTCATCTAAAATAGCCACGTGAACTTTTCTAGGTGGAAACTTTGAATTGCGAGCCAAATTTTGTTACGTGCACATTTTACATGAGAGAGTGTTGGAGAGTGCTGGAGAAAGGCGAGTGCAGCTAGCATTCCTCTGGTAACATTCATCAAATGAATTATTAAAAAATATGATTATATTTATTATATTTATTTAAATTAAAAATTCAGCTGCGCGGAGCGCTGCATGGCGTGTAGTTTTTTAAATTATTAAAACTGTTTTTTAATTTATTAAATTTTTTCTTTAGTGTTGCTAAATTTTCAACAACAAAAAAGAATTGTGTAGGCCCACCCAGGCCCATGTAGTGGGCTGGTGGTAGATGTTTGGGACCAAATTGAATCATCCGCAAAGGTCAGGGGCTAGTTCACTATTCCTAAATCCTAAATTACTAAATTACCAAATGCTTGCCAGGTCCATTATGTGGCCCATACATTAGTCCATAACCATCTTCAGAATTGGGTCGGGCCGGAAACGATATCGTTTAACGGTGAGCCCTGAAGACGAAGCACGAAGCCGAAGTCTTGGCTCTCAGCCTTCGCCTTTCATCGATTCCGGTACCTGAAATCAATTGAGAAGAATGGAGGAAGAGAAAGCGGTGGCTTACTACAACGAGCTCACGCGCAGAGGCGAAGGAGCTGCAAGGTTCAAGCAAGGTCTCGGTTTCTCCTCCAACAACGATCGGAAGGATGCCATTCCAGAACGAGGTTCGGCTCTGCCTTCATCTTCTTCCTTTCTTAGCACCTTTGTCAGGGCCTCGAGCCCTAGCTCCACCTCCAAGCTCGAGAAACAGTCTCAACTGCAGTCCATTCAGAACAAGCTCAAAAGGAAGCCAGAAAAAGAACCTAGGGTTTCAGAGAGAAGCAGCCACAGGGATCGCTCTAGAAGCCGAGACAGAGATAGAGATAGGCATTCGAGGAGGCGAAGCAAAAGCAGGAGCAGAAGCCGAGAGAGGAGGAGGCGGAGGAGCAGGAGTAGGTCACCGCGTCGAGAGCGAAGGTCAGAGAGGACAAGAAGCAGGAGTAGGTCTCCACGTAGAGAGCGACGGTCAGAGAAGAGGCGGAGCAGGAGCAGGAGTAGGTCGCCGCGAGAGCGGAGGAGATCAGAGAGGGAGGGAAAAGCCACGAAAGAGAGAAACGGCGAAGTTGATTATTCACGGTTAATTGAAGGATATGACAAGATGGTATGTGTGTTTTCTCTTTATTAATTTCAGCTTTGCAAAACGACTTATGGTTAGTTCTGCCACTTTCATGTTTAATTGCAATCAGTTGCTGATAGAATTAGAACCATAAAGATGAAAAATTATAGCATTTAGACGTTTCAGAGATGCTCTGTGAGTTTATTCTGTGATTATCTGGATCAGTAATCCCTGCTGCCTCTATCGGGACGCCGGATTTGAAAAATAGCTGCTTGAATCTTAGAAGTGCATTAACAGTGTAAATTTATGGGGACAGACAACTTGAATGAGCATGATATGCAAATAGAAATGGAATAGTGGTCTTTCTAACTGCAGATGAGATTAGACCTGGTTACATGCATGTTTATTTGAAAAGAACATCATAGAGAAGGTGGGGATCATATCATGATAGGGGGATACATGACACTTCACCTTGGGCAGAGTTTTGAAATGTGAAGTGGAGAGAACAGACAACTTTAAAATTGTAACAAAGCAACGGGTATGGATAGGTACAGAGAACTTCTTCAAATGGTCTTTAGACATCCTTCATACCTTAAAGCTGAAAAAAGAAAAATAGAGATTGAGAAAATGTTGCAATCATGATGGTATTTTGTACTGTTATGAGTATTAATGAAACCTGAGTACAAGAATGTAAATTTTTTCCTAACAATTCCTGGATTTAGTATCTTACATTTGTTTTGCTTCTGAAATTATTAGTTTGTTGGTAGAGTTATGCCAATAACTAGGACAATAATTGATCAAAAAGGTTTGCGGTGAGTACATCCTTTCTAAGTAAATTTGCTGTGATTTACTTTACAAAGAATATGTGTGACAATGTTTCTGCTCTGAACAGTCAGCTGCAGAAAGAGTAAAAGCCAAGATGAAGTTACAGCTTGCCGAAACAGGTAACCCTATACTAATAGATATTTCTTTTGTTCTAACATTTTGAACATTCAAGGTATACTGTCTGGTTATCAGTCACTTTTATTCATAACATGAAATCATGAATATTGTTAATCATAGAAGTAGATCTGCATAAGCTTGTTTATTAGTTCTGTTTAAAAATTTGGTACAAGGTAATATAAAAGTGAATAAGTGGTTGAACTCTGAGCTGTATGCGTTGAAAGATTTAGATATTGAGGGTTGGTGATGTCAAGAATTTGGTGACTTGTTTATCATGTGATGGAAAACATTAGACTTTTATGGATAAAGAAGAGACTACTTTTTGATTTTCTTGTTTTTTAGCTATGCAGTCTTTCATGTAAAACCCTCTACTACCCATAGGAAAAATAAAGTGGAGAAACTGGTTTCAGCACCTCAGGTTGTAACAGGGAATTACTTAATTAGTTCCTGGTCTGGTCTACTCCCCAAAACTTAAAAGCAGGATACAAAGCATTGGGACGGTGGCTCATCAATTAGTTTTGTTAGTCCGTAGCTTGTATTGAAAGAAAACTAGATTGAATTTGATTTTTGAACAGAAACAGGTTGGGAGGCAAATTCATACTTGGTTTGTCAGGAGACTTTTACTGACTAGTCATTGTATGTGACAAGGCTAGTTGGTGGAGCTTAAAAGCAAGTTTTGCTTTTCAGCAAATTCTTCTCTTACAAATTTGAAAATTTGTTGGAGAGAAATTCAAATTTTAGCTTTTAAGGTAGCCTTTTAGCAAGTTTTGAAAAAGCTACACATCCAAGCTTTATCAAAACTTGCTAAAAAGCTACTTTAAAAGCCAATTTTTGAATTTCTTTTCAAAAAATTTTTGAATTTGTGAAAGAAGAATTTGCTTAAAGAACTTGCTTTTAGTGTACCAAAAAAATAACTTGCTTTTAAGCTCCACCAGATAGCCCCAACGTGCTTCTTGAGCTTCTGACGTCTTAAAATGTTATCAACTTATCATTATGGGTGCATCAGTTCTTAACATCTTGAATTATTTTATTCCAATAATATATAACCTGTGCTGCTGTAGCTGAACCATATCCATATTCTCAACAGTCAAATTGAAATTTTTAATTTTATTAGTCTTTGAGGTCTGTTCTCCATTTTACTATTGGTTTTGGTTAGTGTTAGAATATTTTCTGATGCTGCTGGCTTGTAAGACCCAAAGGTGATGGATAAGAAACTAAATTGACTGCTAAAAAACCTTGCTTTGGGTCAAGGTTATGGGTTCAGACATCTGCAGTAGCTCAGCAAACTACCAATTTGGCCTATCAAAAGATAAAAAGGAAGTTGTTCCTTGTCATTGTTTCCCTTTTTCTGTGTCCTGTTATTGAGAGGTTATACATTCTTTTCAGCTGAAAAGGATCCAACAAAAGGCATGGGTTCTGGATGGGAACGGTTTGAATTCAACAAAGATGCTCCACTTGATGACGAGGAAGTTGAAGGTGAAGCATCCACCTTTGTTGTGTTACTGAATGTTTTATGAAAAAACATATTATTTATATCTATAAGTTAGCAAAAGACATGTTTTAGTTATTGCACAAGAGTTGGATGATTGTCCATTGTGTAAATGCAAAAAAATTAATGAATCAGACATCTTATAACAGACCTGATATTTCAATTTATTTATGGAGGTCTGACCTGTGTAGTTTGTTACTCGAGCATATATGAATTGAGCAATATAGAACTGATTTTATGGATCTTTATATCTACAGCTGCTGGAGATGATGCAGCCATACTCAAGCACATTGGTCAGAGCTTTCGGTTTTCTGCAATAGAGGTACAAGGTTTCATTGTTTTCCTATCCATCAATAGTTCAAATTCTTTCAAGTGTTTCTATCTGTCTACCCATTCTATCTGTACATATGCCATTTCTGATAATCTTGATAGAGTCCAAATTATTTTCTGGTTCTGGTGTAACTGACATGTTATCAACACTATGTAGACAAGAAGGGAGGAACAAATTAAGGCTGCTCATGACGAGGCCATTTTTGGATCCTCAACTGTTCCCGTTTCTGTTACTGTAAACAGTGAATCCGAGGAGGAAGACAAGAAAAAGGATAGCAACAACAATGGTCTTGCTGCAAGCCTCCTAAGTGAAAGAGTGGGTACTCTAAAGTCTCAAGAACTCTTTCTGCCAGTATGCGCGTGCTTGTTCTTCCATGTATGCGAGAGAAAGAGAATGAATAATTAATCACTTATTCTCTCATGTTTTAGGTACTTGCAAAGCAGCCAGGTTCTTGGCGTGATCGTGTTCGTAAGGCATAGTGATCAATCTGATCACCAATCTAGGATACAATGACTAAAGGAATCAATGCCACCAGCTTCTGGGTAAATAATCAGACTTCAGATGTAAATATTGTGGCAGCCAACAAGCAATGCACTATTTCTAGTGATAGCAAACCCAGCATGGCAGCATGCATCGGCAGAACACCAAGAATCTTCCATTGCAGCTCCTATTGTACTTCACATGAAGCCGTGCGAAGCAGTGATGAGAAAATCATACGTTGTAGCATGTCGGTTCCTTGAGTAAACCCTCAAATAGTTTGCCCTTACTATATGCGCTTTGATCTTGGGCGTAAAGAAGATTATCGCTTTCCATTCCTTTGTCCTCTCCTCCTTAATGCAGTGCAAGTGGGATTTGATCTTGAATTATTGAATTGTAGTCTTGATATTTTTAATCTTTGAACGAGAATGGTTATGTGGTATCTCCATGTTTTGCTGTGAGGAATGCAAAAGTTGTTTCATTTTGCGTTCTGTTGAGTCTAGAATTTTTGTAATTTTTGAGAATGACTATAACTGATTTATTTTTGGATAAATCGGGGTTATAAGGTAGAGTTTGTTAAGCCAACGATTTAAAAGTATTTTAAAGGTAATTTTCATCCAATAGAAATAAAAAATTTTGAGTTTAATATGTAAACAAAGTAGTAGGTAGAGTAGGTTAAGAAATGGGAGGGGAGTCTCTTATATTACAATTCAAGGTTAAAATAAGAAAATTAGAGTTTGTTAAAGGAAGTATAATGGATTTCTAATACAAGAGTATTAAATTTTACTTTATATATATATATATATATATATTTGGGTAAAGAGGAATAGAGAGTAGAGAAAAAGAGGAGAAGTGATATGCTTCTATTTAAATAAAAATAAGTAATTCATTTTTTTAAAAAAATAAAGTAAATTAAAATTTTCTCCTCCTCTATCCTCTATGCACCTTTTGATCCAAATATATTGTTAGTGTGAGAAAAATAATAGATATTTTTTATCTTCATATTTATTTTTATTTGTATATTAAAAATTTAAAGATAATTTGTATTTTATTTTTGTTTTTTTTTAAGGAGACTTTTTAATAATAAAATAAATAACTAAAATTAAAAAATAAAGTTAAAGTATGAAAAAATATATCTCTTTCAAAAATATAAAAAATAAAGTAAATTAAAATTTTCTCTTCCTCTATCCTCTATGTACTTTTTAATCCAAATATATTGTTAGTTGTGGCATATCATTATCTATTGTTTTTTAGTTCTCAATTGCAAGTTGAGAATTGTTGGATAGAAGACTGCCTTAAATACGAAGAGATTCTATCAGTATATTTTACTTGTCACACTTTTACTTATGACATATATTAAAGGTCTATTTTTTGTACTTTTTTGTAGTTAATTGTATAAAAAAATAAAAATTAATTTTAATTTTATCAATTA